GCTGCTCCTGGTTTTGACCAGAGTTCTGCGCTTGTCAGTCGCCGCATGAGCCATTTGAAGGGTTGGCCAACATTTTTAATTAGTGTCGTCAGCGTCGACGTTGTCGTTGTCGCTGTCGTTTGTTGCTGATTTCACCCAGTAATTCGAGATTAAAGGGGTGTGCTGTTTGTAATGGCAGAAGATAAACGCGAATCAGCTGCGCCTTCTGCTCCTAAAAATGATTCCCATTCCTCATTGTGTTGTTAGAAATCGAGCAGGATACCATTCGTATTCCTTGTGAAAACAAAATTTATATGAAGACGCATGTCTGGTTTTCTTGGGCAATGTCCTTGATTTTTTCATTGGCTGTCATATCACAAGTACTGGGTATTTTCAGTTCGGGATTCCCGACACCGCAACCAATCCGTTTGTTATTTCTTCAGCTGGTTGTGGCTGCGGTTGCCTTGAACCCTTTGTGCATTGTGTCAGAAGCATGCATAAATTATATTTTCTGCGGGTCCTGGGAAATTTCTAATGAAGCCCGAAATTGGCTGCGGGAAATAACCAAGACGTGTGGGCCACACTCTGTCAGAGCTACCAGTGGATTGGGAAAATTTCCGGAACGGGATACTTTCCCAACCTGCTGTTACCTGCTGGGCGGCAATGTGTTTTCGCATTTCCCGCCACGCATCTCGCCCAATTTTCCGGCGGTGGCCAATGGTTTGGGCCATTGTTTACGCACTGCCGACGGACGTGTCGAAATGCGAAGCGTGTGAGTCAGCTGCCAAAGTATCTGCATTCGTGTACATGGTACATATCTGGTATCTATGACTGCAACTGGACTGCAGTCTGGCATATTTGGGTCAGCCTTTAAATAAACTCTATGGCAGCGCAGGAAATGTCTGCCTGTTTGATGTTTCAGTTACACATGATGGCTTAATAGTGCCAGGAGAAGGCCGGGGAAGATATTTGGAATTCTGGTTCCTGGAAATGCCAGAGATGTTCTCCGGCATCCATCAATCCTGGGCGCAGTTCTGACAGCCGTGAAATCGTGTTAAACGTAATCTCAGACTAACCAAAAATCACCCTCCTTCACCTTCCGCTGCCACAGCTATTCGAGGCATGAATGATGGCACTCAAATTACATTAAATGGAATTTCGATTGGGCCCCTCCCGCGCCACTCCTCCAATCGAACAGTCCACCAGTCCACCAGTCCTCCGACCTGGGAATGACAATGACGATGACAAGACAATGGCGGGGCAACAGAAACCGAATTCGAAATGGAAACAGTAAATGGCATTTACATGTTCCTGTCATAAGGCCGAAAGGGGAGCAGGGAACCAATTTAATGAATCAGCATCATCATCATCATCAGCCAGCTCCTGCTCCTGCTCCTGATTCAGCTTCAGCTTCAGCTCCAGCTATTCCACTTTGGATAGGCCTCTCGAAATGCAGCATTGCAGATATCGGAGAAGTTGCAGCTGCAACGGGTGCAATCAGACAAATGCAATTAGGATTTGGCGACGCTTTCGTGTCGGGCATTCTAAGCATGCCACATCGTCATTCTTTTTCGGGTCTCCAACTCCCGGGGGAAAATGCAACAAGCCCAAGTTGAGGCACAGACATGAAGCTGGGTTCCAAGGTCCGACGTTTGTCCCCGGGGATTTGACATGAAAGGCGCCGAAATGTCGATCCACGAGGATGGAGTGAACAGCTCAAAACTGTCCTGAATGGGAGGGGAAAATACTATGGAATGGAAAGATTTAAGAACATTCAACTTTTCCGCAACACTTTCTTTCTTCATCATGAAATAAATAACTAATATTACATTTGATTGTTTTATTATTACATTTGCCCAAGGCACTTAGCCATTGTATGCATTTAAGTGAAATCAAGTGAAATCTCTTAATTAGGTCATCCAGTGAACACACTGCCTAAATGGGAAATACTTGTCTAAAAGACTAGCCCTGCAATATAAACGATTTAAGTTTCTTTTTTATATAGAGCAGAGCACATTACATAGGTTTTTATATTGAATATGGGAATTGGGTCACAGAATTCCATTAGTTTCTATTACGCTTTCGCCTGAAACAAGCGTACTCAATAAAACTTTTAAAGGCTTTTCATATTAAATGCACAAGTTTCCGGATGGAAGGATTTCTGAAATGCTGAAAAACCCACTCTCGCTCTCCCAAAACTTTTCCCCAATTTCCCACACTCTTGTGTGCACTCGAGCAACTTTTGAGCCTTCGCCGGACTGCTGATGATGTCCGCTCGGCTTGGCGGCTCTCAATTAAATATTTAACTTTAAGAAATGTAATTTCAATTAGCGCCACAGCATTTGGCCATTAGCGTGGCGAGTGCCGAGATTTGTGCCAATTGCGAAATGCGGAATACAAAACAAGAGTCGCGATGAATGAGCAAACAGCAAGGAGCAGGAGGAAAATCGCAGGAAAATCGTGGGAGGAGCATGAAAAGCTGGGGGTTGGGTGGAATTTGGACACCCGCGCCTCTCGCTCACTCGCTCAAAATCATTACGTGATTAAGGTTGCCATTACGGCCGGGAAAGCAAAAATAGAAAACTAGAGCATGGCACGCAGACAGCTGCAGAGGGGCTTTCCGCGGGGCAGAAAATGGGGAAATCGGGAAAATCGGGACAGGGGGGCAGACGCTCTGCGACCGCAATTGCGCTCGCTTGGTTGGGCGGAAAATAAAATGAAGTGAAAGAAAATAAAAAAAAAATAAAACAAAATAAAATAAAATGATATAAAGAACAAAAACGCAACAAGAACCAGCTAAATAACAGCAAATAGAAATAAATAAATCAGCGACACGGCAGAGGAGCTCTGGGCAGGATGGGGCCAAGGGTCGTCCCCGCCGCAGAAAAACAATTAAAATGAAAACCCGTAAGCACTCTAACTCCGGGCGGAAAATGGGCGGTACTTTCACGACTTCGAATTCGTATTTTCCGCATTCGTCCTCCGCACGAGCGAGCAAAATGGTTCGAAAACAAATTTGCCGATCTAATTAAAAGCTAAATTGTGACCATTAAACGGGGTTCACAACGCCACTGCCTTCTTTACATATAAAAAAAAAAACCAATTCGACTCGAAAGCATAAACAAATTAGGGGGAAAAAAAAATTATACTCAGAAAAATGGGTAAAATTTAGCAAAGCAATTTTAACTTCAAAGTAAAGTTGGTGAGATCAAAGAGTGTGAAATGTTTTCCTAAGTATTTCCATTCGAAATGATATTTTTTTTTTCCCAGTGAACTATCTGTGACCTTAAGTGGGTACCACGGCATGGAAAAACATTGAAAAGCATTTAAGTTCGCTCCGCCTTTCAACAAGTTGGCAAGCAATGCAATTTACAGATGGAGAGCCCGGCGAAATGGGTGCCAGGATGCAAGGATGCAAGGACATGGCCATTAGTGGGCCACGGGCCACGAGTGGAATAGAAAAAGTATGCCAAGCTGACCACATAGCGCAGGACAACACGGACCAGGACGAGAACGGGCAGCTGAAGCTGGAGCAGGAAGTGGAACTGGAGTTGGACAGGGACGTCTGGCAAATTGTAAATTAATTGATGAAGCCAGCGTTTAGAAGAGGCAGGGACAAACTCTCGGACTTCGGAATGCCAGAGTGGTCGCTGGAAACATTCGACAGGGATTGCGCTATTCATTCGTGCTTAGAATGAATAATTCAGACCAAATCGAGGTGAATAAATCCATAAAATGGCATAGAAATCTGCTTAAGTTTGTAAGACTGTTTTTAGAAGGGTAACTTATGTATGCAGCGCAAAGAACTTTTTTTTGTGAGAGGACCATTTAAAGTTCATATCCTACCTGTTTAACAATAACAATAAACTAACAATATGCCTAATTTCGAATTTGCGCCCACTGTGAGATTCTGCAGCCCCATTAGCCCCCCAAAGGGCAGCCCCTGGAATCGAGAAACTCGAACTGCAGCTGACATCTCGAACGGTAAGAGACGGCAATACGGAATGAAGCGGGATGGAGCAACGCTGACAAATTGCTGGTAGCAAGATTAATGCCTGCATTATCTTTCCTCATTTGTCGATTGTCAATGCAACTGGGCCGCGTCCGCAGCAGGATAGCAACAGCAGCAACAACAACTTGCTGCAGCAACAGGGACAACAACAGAACGCCCCCGGGGCGTGGCAGTTTACCTTTGCCTTTGCGTTTTACCTGTCCAGTGCCGCATTGTTCTCTGATTTCCCATTTTCCTCCTCTCTATCGCTGACATTTTTCAATTTGATGATGCACAGCAGCAACAACAACAACTGAGTGGGCGGCACTCTCGTCCTCATTTTCCGAGCGCTTTTCCTTCTGCCGTTCCTTTTTTAATGGCATCTGGTGCTGGACAAGGTAATTTCATTTTTATATTAATGACAGCATGTTTGATGCATGTCCCTTTACAAGTCCCCGCCTCGCTCGCTTAATCACTTAAGACTCTTAAATGCGAAAAAAACACATTGCCATATGGGTACACTTAATGGCCAATTGGTCGGTGGAATATGTCACGGTTTTGTTCAATTTAAGTCCTGCTACAACTCGGAATATTTGCCAACATGAAACGCGAGAATTGCACTAATTAGTCAAGCCATCGATTATTTATCGATGGGGTGAGCAGGCATCGCAGGGCAATCGATGCTGGTGGAAAAGTTAATATTGCAATGTGTGTCGCAACTGCAGTTGTCTAATTTGAAAATGCAATTACCAAAAATTAGTTCAATAATAGATAACGGGTGCTGTTGGTTTCCATTTTTAATTACTAGCATGTATTTTAATCAGCCCTCTGCTCAATCGATAGTTGATCAGTCAGCCGTGTCATCACTAGAATCGAAAAAGCTCATCCCTGATCTTTTTTGTTTTTGCAAATTTTTAATGTTCAAGTGCAAATTTGATATTTTAACATAAAATAGTGGCTGCGAAGTGCAACTTATAAAAAAACAACGTGCAAGTGATTGATGTGAATGTAACCAAAGTGATTTGATCAGCAGTAAAGCTGCTAAAACAGGTAATTCTGCATATCTTATGTTTTTAGTCAGTTTCAAATATTAAACTATGTATTTCCAAAGGTAGATACAAATTGAAGCAGCTTACATACACACACCAAAATCAAAGGCGGTAAGTCTTAAATTTCCATATTTTCCATATGCCCTTGTACTTTGCACCTGCAAAAACGACCACCCGGAGCCCCCCCTCCAGAGTTTTTTGAATGCCACCAATTAGTAGAGTCCTGCTCCAAAAAAAAATGGAAAATGGTGAGACAATATGTTCAGCTGAGCCCAAACAACTGCAGGCTAGAATCTAAATCCTTGCAGTGCAATAAAAACAGGAGAATGGATGTGGATGGGTTCCGAGGTCGGGGGCCAACATTCCGGATGTGCCTGTTGGTCGTCGAAAATCTAGCGAACTTTGCAGACAGAACAATGCCCTTCGGATTTCGAGTTGAGTGGAATTTTAGGTCTAAATCCGGCAGGGTCATAAAAAGTGCTTATTACATTATCACCTCAAGCGTGGCTGAGCTGGCTGTGGGCAGTGCCACGCCCACCCGCACACAGTGGCCCGTCCACAGAACGCAATTCACTCTCTCTCTTTGTCAAAGGAACTGCGTGTGTGTGTGTGTATAAATGCCCTTCCCTTCAAGGGGTCTTACGATTCTTGCACCCTCTTTCTTATTGCTATGCAAAGCAGACCTTCATAATTGCCCTCAAAACATGGGAGGAGTAATTCAGATCTTGGTCCTGTTTTGAAATCTTTCAGAGATCTGTAAGCCCCTAAATAGACAATTTGTATCGCTGTATGTATGATTCTGAGCGATCCCCTTTTATTTTTAAGTTTTAAAGTCGGCATTGCTTTAAAGATTTCCTTTTAAAAGATTTGTTCTGTATGATTTGATTTGGTATGCACTTATTATACAGAATAGGATTATGTCATCTTAAGTATTGAATTCCAATCATCTAATGATTTCTTTATATCATTATATCTTGGGATAATTAAATGAAATATATTCCCGTAAATTTATTTAGTAAAAAAATAATTTCGCAGCCCGCTAGAGTATTCTGACGTTCAGAGGCCGCAGCTGGCTCCCCTTTTCTCGGTTTTTGCTGCGTGTTTGGGGGCTTTATTATGGCCCTGGCAGCTGCGTTTTCAATTTTCGCTTTTTTAGGCCTGCAAACTCTCACCTGAGCTCGTTGAGCCCTGAGCCTTGAGCCGATTTGTTTCGGTTCGGTTCGGTTCGGTTGGGTTTGGTTTGGTTCAGTTCGGTCGCTTCAGTCACTTATTGGCAAATGTTTCGAAGCTGAAAAACGGAGGAAAACTCGGAGGAAAAACGGGGCGGAATCTGGTGCAAAAATGCGAAAAATGTGTAAATTTGCGCCCGCTTTTATTTTTCGCATTTGGCCCGGATGATGTGTAGCGGCTGATCCGCTTTGGCAGCGCTCCCAGGTTCGAGTTCATTCAATTTGGATTAAGTCGTTCGTGTTGATTAACAAAATTGACTTTTTTGCAGACTTCTCGCCAATCGATTTCGATTTGGGATCGATGCAGAGCTGGCGCAGCTGTAAACCATTTAGCCGACGATGCCGTAGACGTTTAGTAAATATTCAATCAATTTGGATGGACAATAAATCACCAGGAAATCAAGAGCGTCTCAATTTCTCCAAACAGATATGCGTCATAACAATAAAAAAAGAAGCATCCCACTTCCCTCACTTTCCCCCAAGTGCGGCAAATAAACAAGACAAGGCGACAGGCCATAATATATCATGGCCCCAAGGCGCCTGACGACATGACACGAAGATGGAGAGTCAGCTTCGAAGGACACTGATGCGTAATGGCTGCCAGGGGGATGACATCGATCCGGAGCTCCGTCTTCCTAACTGCAAATCAATGACATATATTTACGGCAAATGCGTTTGCCCGCCTGGGCCACATAGACGGGCATAATACGTCGGAATAAAGTAATAACCCGAATAATAGCATATGTCAGCGGGGCCATTACCTGCCGCTAATTGCCGTACAAACTTCTCCTGTCGCCGCCTAAGCCGGCCGCCAATTAAAGCCAAACAAATGCTGTTGGAGCGCTAAAAGCCCTCAATCCGGATCTCACGGCTCCCGAGAGCCAGCCGCAATGTAAGTGCGGCTCATAATTTATTTCGATTACGCCGCAGCACGCAATTTGCGCCGGGCACATCCTTTTCGAGCACACGGACACGCACAGGAAGTGAGATATCCAGGAGCACCGGGAGTGGAACGAGTGGAGCACCAGGGCCAGAGATAAGTGTGCGCTGCGCGCAATTTCCGTTTCCGCTTGGTTTGCCCTTATCCAGCGCTGATGCTGCGAAAATCCACTAAGCAACAATTAAATCACAGACTCCCGAGAGCAACTCGGGAAGATAAAAGCGTAGAATGCAGCAGAAACAATGTAAGGCATCGGCCACATACAGTAGAACTACTCAGCACCAAACTTAAGCAGCAATGGGAAGATGAAGTTCAAGAATAGTAAACTATAATGTCGTATAATACCCATTCTTATGGGAAAGATCAAAGTCCGCGCTACAAGAGTCTCACTGTACGCCTCGAGTGACTCAGAGGCATTAATTCGAGGATTGGAGGACAGAAACAAAGACAAAGGCTACCTGAAGTGAATCATTCCCAATCGTTTCCATGCAGGTAACAAGAGCCACTACCATTAGCTGACTAATCGGGGCCTTCAAGAGTGGCAGCTCCAGTCCGTGGCACTCCAGAACCAGACCAAAATCGATTCCGCTTTAAGCGTTTGCTCTTTACGCTTAGAAGTTATAAATATTTATGGCGCACATAATGCAGCGCGTTGAGCTCGGCCAATAATTTTTCCGCTTACAGCTCTGCGATATCTGGGATCCCAGGCTAAATGTCGGGATGTGTGTGTGCTCCAGATGCAGCGAAGCGAGCATTTTCCACTGAAGGATTTATGCTCGCTGACATGCAACTTAAAAGCAAGGACAACAGCCAGAGATAGCACAAGGGGATTGGGATTGGGAAGGGGATGCGGATGCGGATGCGGATGCAAGCAGCGGCAAACTTTCCTTATGCGGGATACTTTTCTTGTGCAGTCGGAACAACAATCGGCGAAGCGATGCTGAGCACAAGGATTAGGCCAAAAGGAGAATGGGAGTCAGCGGCAGAAAGGAGCAGAAATTTATGTGACTTTTGCATGTGGGCTGCAGGATGCAGGATGTGGCTCGCACTGGCTAGACATTAGTACAATTTCCGGTCCAGGCCACAAAATATTCAATAATATATTAAAGATATAGCCGGCAACCCAAAAGAGATATCGCACAAAGGCAAGGAGCAGGGAAAACCGGCAGATACTGGCGCACACCAGCAGGCACGAATTCGACAACTCAACTGAAGCGTAGCAGGCAGGATAAATCTAAATAAGACGTGCTTCGACTCCGGCCTGGCCTACTCCTCTCCTTCGCCTCCATCTCCTCTATTCTGCGGCAAGGTAGCTGGAGCATGCACCATCAGCCGGAGAATTTGTGCAATGAAGTGCAAGTGAACTTAAAGCGACTAAAGATACTCCCAACTACCTGACCACACGAGAGATGAGCGCGTGAGGCGGATGAAAATGCGGAATTCCAGGAATTCAAGATGCCAAACATCTTGAGCCGCCGGATAGGTGAACTTTTATAGCACACAATCGGTAGAGATTAAGTGTTTGATACCGATATGATCCTGTCATACAATAAGATCATACAAAATCCTGTCATTCAAAATCGTTTGATGTTTAACAAAAGTTAGAGGATCACTGAACCAACAAAATTGTAAATAACAAAATGACTTGGCTTAGCTCACGTATTCATATCCCCTCCAACTCCCGTAAAACAAAACGGAAGTGCCACTCGATTCCCTGGAGCGGAAGTGGATATGGGGGCTACCGGAGGAAGCAGTCGGGTTTATGGGTATATGGGTTCGTTCAATAAATTTCAGCACTCTTAAATTGGCAAGGCGATGCACTTTCAGTGGCAGTGGCAGTGGCATGCACCGATGTCCATGGCGTCCAGTGCGGAGTCAGTAGTCATGGGTCCGTTAAAGCGGGCCCGGTAAAATTGATAATCAATCAAATGCGGCGCTGACACAGCCAGGCACTTAATCACTGTCTGGTTATCCTTTTTGTTTCGCTGGCTTAACTTTTATCAATTACGCCTTTTTGCGACTGACAGAGATGAATCACGGGAAATCAACAATGCATCGGGAGAAGTTGCTTACCCGCCGGTTGACTATCTCTTTATTAATTCAATTAGCGTTGCTCTGGCAATTGGTGTGGAATTAGCCGGCGACTCAAGTCAAAAGCCTGCGAATCAGGTGGAACTTATGGCCCCATAATCAGCACACTTCTGTGGCTCCTGAGCCTGGCTAAAACCAAAGTAAATTTCTGAAACAATGTTTCGTGCCTGCCAAGTGCACAAATGCAATTTTCATGTCTCGGCTGCGAATGAGCTAGCACAACAGTTGCTCTTGAGCCATTGTTCAATTAATAAAATGTCCGAGTGCATTGAAACATTTAAACCGCAGGCCGAGATGCACTTTCCCCACTTTCGCCTCTCCTCTGTTGACGATGTGGTCGAGAAAAGTGCAAGTTCAATCAGCAGCAAACTGCAAACTGCAATCGAGAGTCGAGAATCGAGAGTGGAGACCACAGCATGGTGTCGCCTCCGCCTGATGCAATTACACAAAAGCCCGTAATCAAAGCAAAGGAAATTTGTCTCTATTATTGCATAAATCAGTAAGAATCGAAGACCTTGAGCATTTGCTCTAACAGCAGCCAGTTGATACCCTGTTTCGACCGAACCGCCAAACATGGGGTAGAATATGGCAAACGGCACTGATATACCTCAAAGTGGAAGAGCAATTGCGAGTTATGAAAAGTCCACAGATTGAGTCAAAGACAAAGGCAAACACGGCTACCAACACAAAGGCTGCCCCCAGACAGGAGTCAAATAATTAATGGCCAGCCGGGGAAGGCAAACAAACAAGCTTAAAACGAGCAAAAACACAACAGAAACTGAACCGAAACGAAACGAAGCGAACCAAGCCGAAACCAGAAAAAATCTCCAGCGTGAGGTGAACTGTTTTGAATACACTTTCGCGGATAAGGAAATTATATTCTTGTGCGATTAAATGTCGTGGCAATTTCAAATTTGCTAAACGATTTTTGCAACGTAGTTGTTAATACGTGCTTCAAAGTACTTTTGTATTTATAAAATCTATCTAACATGTGAGGGTTGTTGGAAGTTTAGGATTTCACCGTGGGTGAAACTCGACGTAGCGACGAAGCGCACCCAAAGCAGTAGAATAAAGTTTACTGTGATAGTGCGAATGTTACACGAATGAACTTGAAGGAATAGCTTACCGAAACAGAAGTACCCCTCGCAAGGGTAGCGAAAAAGCAAGCCATGAGCGGATTTGCATGAGCGAAACGCGGAGTTCGCCGGGAAAAGGATACTGGGCTGGAGGATCATGTGTGTGGGTCTGGCGGCCACGTCGGTTGCCTTGGATGCCGTCAGTAGCTTGTTATGCACTGTCCTCTCCAGTGTTCCCGTGGTTGTCTAGACTTTAAGTTGGCTAATAGCCGACACTGGCGATTTTTTTATCTCTTTGGTTGCTATGATATGGTATGTGGACCGGGGGCTTTGGTCAGAAAGCCAGAAATTTGTAGTAAACCGAATTGGCGCTCTTGTATTACTTATTTGGTCCATTATTTGTGCGCTGCTTGGCTTTCGCTTTTATTTGACTTTGGCCTTTTGTGCGACGCTTTTTGTGGCCCAAAACGAACCCTGCACTTGATAATGAAATATATAAACGTGGCTTCCGCTGCGAGAGTGGGTAAAAATCCGTGGGCATAAGGCTTATAACACACACAGGACGCAGGACATAGGGCGCAGGACTTCAGGAGAACAAGGGAAGCAACAGGGAAAGGACTGTATGTTGTATACCGTTCGGGGTGCGAGAACTGAACACAGAAACTCGCTGCGAGAAATCATAAATTAATCCGATTTAAGCAGCTCAGTAGCTTATTTTTGTGCCAACCAACTCGAACCAGCAGTTTTTGTTGCTCGATGAAAGCGGTGGGAGATTTACTCCTGGCCATGTCATGTGTTGCATCTTGATGAGTTGCGGCAGCATTTAAAGGAGACCAATTTGTTTGGCACTGGCTCAGGAGCCAGGAAGCTGACATGATTGGATGCTGACGATGACTAAGATGATGATTCGTTGTCAAGGTAGAAGGGCCCTCGAGTGCCAGTGCTCAGTTGGGCAGAGTGGCGGAGTGGCGGAGTTCATTCGAGTTCGTCGGGGCTTAGTTCCGCTGCACAGCTTGTGTCCTGGCAGCCAAGGAGCTCAGCTCGGCACAGCGGAAAATAGCCTAGAAACGTTTCATCAGCTTGGCATTCTTTCACGGGAAACACGATCTATGTGAGCTTCCTTAAAATATCATGAATGGAATGGTAAATATAATGTTACACAGAAGAACCCAAGGCCTTTTCCACTGGACATTAGTTGGGCTTTCGCTTCTTATTATATAGAGCTACAACTCTCTAAAAAATTGCTAGTGCACTACATAAATGTAACTATTTTTGTGTCTAATTAAAGTTAAATTTTGTACGCTAACTTAGTGATGGGAAGATGTTTCTTCCTGTGTGGCTCATTACGAGCACAGTTTTTACGCAAAATCCTGCGGCGGAGGATGCGGCTTAAGTGCGCCATTCCAAATTCAATTGGGCTTGAAGTGTTCGAAAGGCAAAAGGCATCCAGCCAGGAGATGTCGCACCGCCGCGAGGCGTCTCAACTCATCTTGGCTTGGACTGGTGGGATTTATGGACGGCAGAACCGGCGAGTGGCCAAAAAATGATAGAGATTTAGTTGGCTTAATTTTTCGCTGTGTAATCCATCAAGATTTCCATATCAAATTGCGTTGTGCATGCTGGATGATTTTGGCATAAATTCCAAACAAATTTGCTTAGTACATTCTTACAGCCATTTAATGGCCAATGACCAGTGCTGTTGCACTTTTGGTCAACATTGTTTTAAGTGGCTGCGTTGATAATTGACAGAAGTGCTCGAGTTTAGCCCATTTAAATTAATCGAAACAGCTCAATTCCGTGTTAATCCGCACTGGCTGTGTGGTGTTTTATTTATTTTCTGTTTTAAATAGCCCAGTGCAGCTCGGAGAAGAGAGCAGCCGCATAGCATTGACACAAATCCACAGCTGTTTAAATAGAAATTGCGCATTTAGCGCTGGCCACGCCCACCCCCATGTACCGCCCACTCGTAGCCAAAAACAAACAGATAAAAAGAGCGCACAGCATTCGTGTTATTTTCGAACGAACAACAATATTTACAAATTCTTTTGAGGGGACTTTGCTCAACTATCAAGCTCCAAATCAATGATTCCGAATTATTAGGGCATTGTATTGGCCCCAATAAAAATATCAATATAAATTTTCGGCTTCCGATTAGAAGCACACAAACAAAGGCTCTTATCAGAATGAGTTTGAGTCACAAGCGAAGTCGTCAGCTTGGCCTTGTTATGTGATTCATACATAGCTCGTTTCATTCTGACGAAGATATTCTCTGGAATATCTTTTGAACTTGATTAACTAAAATATTAGCTCATGTTTTACTTTATCAAGTGTGGGGCTGTTATTGTCCGCGATATAATCGTTAAACGGAGGCAGCAACAATTAGATTAGATATAACTACGGTTCTTGCAAAGTATATGGTGTGTACTTTACCCATTAACTTTTGGCCAATGAAAGCCGTATCCATTAAAATCCCATTAATTAATTACAGCCTTACAGTTTTGAATCGCACTGCACATCAATATGAAACTAGGTACATTCATTTATTCCTTCGAAATTTTCGCGCCACAAGCGCTCATAAAGTTGTCAAAATGATTTAGCAAATTTTGTTGTAGCGTGTCGCCACAAATGTAAAATGTTTCGAGATCTGTTATGAATGTTTAACAAATTTTTAGTTTGGTCCCTGTCTGTGTGAATACTGTGCGTATGTGTGGGTTTTTGTGCCGGTGTGTCTGTATAGTCGTTTATATGCTGGCATTAATATGGCTAGGGGAAATTTGTTGAAAATTGGGAAAAATACGAGTTTTATTTGTTTTGGGTAACGTGCGCAAAAATCGCACGGAAACGCCACCACAAAAAGTGAAACTTATATCAACGGATTTATTTTTAACATAAAAATACAACAAAAAAACCCGCAAGCACTTAAACACATAAATAAATTAACTGCCCAACTAATATTCGCTTCTCGCGTTTGTTGCCAGCGTAAATTTAATTTCATTTTTCGGAGAGTGTTTCCGAACACGCAAATTCCATTTGTCAATCGCCCGATAAGCGAATTGTTTCTGATTTTCCCACATGTTTGCTCGCCGGCCAGTTGGGAAATTCTGATATGTATGTATATAGTGGGTGGGGCATGACTTACCTTTTGCACCAGCAGGGGCTGGGCGAAGTCCGTGCCCCCCTGAAGGCGGAATCCCCAGGGCTGGGCATCGAAACGTGACAATTTGACTTGCAGCAGCTGTGGTTGGGCCATCTTCTTTTAGCGCTGACTGTAACGAAGCGAGAAGTAATAATCATGATAACATGGCGTATACTTGATATCACGTAGGCGACTAATTAATGAAATCAAAACCCCGACGCACACGAAACTAACGAAAAACAACGCAGACAGACGAGTGCGGATTGCTCCTTTTAGGCCACTAATAAAGACATTATTCAGGCATGTCCAGGCTAATCCTGCCAACAGTCAGACGGCTCCTCGCATCCCCCCTCTATCCCCCCTCTATCCTCGCTGCCTGCTAACCCGAATCATGGAACCCTAAAGCAGCCCTGCCCCACTTCTGTGCCGCCCACAACCGGTTGCCAGATGCAGCTGCATGCGGAAAAGCTGCTGCGTCGTTTTGTGTGCCAAACTGAGCCAACATATTCGGCTGACTGAATGCAGCAGGCAGTCAGGAAAGTGGTCGAGGGCTGGATCAAACTGGGTGATATCCTGGGGAATTAGGGGCCCAGCACAGGAGCATAGAAACGAAATGTAGAGGCATTTTCAGCTACTGTTTAAGATGCCTTCTCAAACGTACATCTAACATAAAAGAGTTAAATAGTTTTTATACTAGTATTGCTTCTACCCAAGTATCGGAGCATTCCATCATATCCCATTTGCCCGACCTTTCTGCAGGGTGCTGGACATAAAACGAGTTAAACTTTGTTAGATATCGCCTTTTTTGCACACACAGAAACTCACACCCCGGCCAGGGGACTCGGTGTAGCACTAGGACTGCGGAGGACCCGCTGCATCCCTCGTCCTGGCCACAGTGAGTGCTGTAAGTAAGCGCGCCCCAAAACGGCAGATGGAGCCGTGTTGTAAGTGTGGCTTACACGGGTTCCCATCTTTCTGTGCGTCCGTACTCTACTACCCCACCTCTCTCCACCTCTGCCGCTTCGTCCTGTCCTACTCCATGTCCTGCCGCACTTTTTTCCCGTCATAGCTATGTAATTTGTACGTGCGTCACAGGAGGGGATGAGAAAAGGGGTCAGGCGAAAATGGAAAAGTGGGCGGGACATGGGAGTCTGTTGATTTAGTTTGCTGCATAACAATTTTGCTGAGTGTTGTGTTTTTTATTAGCAAAGACACATTTGCCCCGTGTTCGTTTGGTCTCTTTCACTCCGCAACGGCCCTCTCTCTCGCTCCCTTTCTCTTTCCACCGAAGACACTCAAAGTGGAAGTAACTACATTAAGCTATTAAAACGACAGCAGCTGCCGGTGGGGATGGGAATTCCAAGGGGGGCGGAGGAGCTGGGATATCCGCACACATATGGAAAAGAGACATTTTAGCACACACAGCAGTTTAATTAACGTTAAGTGCGGGTGGTAATGGCTCCATCTCGAGTCCAGGTTGCAGGATTCAGGTTTCCGGCTCGAATTCCAGCCAAGAAGCGTAAGGGGGCCAAGAGCACAGGCCGTAACACGTTGACGGCATTTGCATGTAAATACTTTGTGCGCCATGAAGTTGGGCCATTAGACGCCCCGGCAAACCAACTGCACATGCACGGGAATAATTTAATTAAAATATTAAACAAATGCGGAGTGGAGTGAAGTGGATCGGTGCGGCGGCGGCGGCGGCGGCGGGCAACTCCTCCACGGACTCAAAGTGGCAGACTGAAAGAGGCCAAAAGCGCAACAACACGAGAACGCAAACACCCGCAAACACCAACGCTTGCCTCCAGTTCAAAAGGGCAATGATGGAAAAAGGGAGCAACCTGGTAGTTCCGGTGCGAAAAGCGCCGCTCGGAGTCCCGGCTAATTACTGGCTCAAATGCTCTTGCCACAAGGATGCTGTGTGGCTGACAAAACGTCATCGACGATTTGGCACACTAAGATTAAATTGCCGAATATTGTGCAATTTTCCTCCCAATTTTGCACATTGTGGCTTCTGTTAGAAAGTATTAAAATGTATACTCCTTACATGTATTACTTTTTCTTTGATACAAGAATCCTTGAACATCCTTTCACATTCCTAGTTCAAAGAGTTACTCCTTTTGTAGTAATATTTAAAAAGCTCCAAAAATGTTTACTTGCCTAGTTTGCTTATAGCAATATTATTTTCCTTTCCGTACCATACATTATCTTCTTGACAAGCTACCATTTCAGACCTTTCAAACCCGTTTCTGCGTCGAGAAGAGAAGCTTCTAACAAATGGTGGCACTTGCTTGGCCCTGGATTAGGGTGCTCCTTTTTCTTGAAACCCTTCCCTTGAAACCTTCACCCTGCCAGGGGACCTGACCCACTTTACAGACCTTAGGTCGGCCTTGGGCAAACTGCGGCGCAAACTTTCCACATGCAAGCAATTTGTAAACAAATTATTTGATCCTCAAACAGGCAAGTTGCTCCAGCAACTTATCAACTTGACGCCGCACAAAACAACAACGAGCGCCAACAAATCCAAACTTGGTCAACCATGTATCATTAACAAAGTTGTCCAGTTGGCAATCCCATTGCAGCTTTATGACTAATAACCAAATGCCAGTGGATGGGTGCGTTTCAGGGGGAAGGGGGGCTCGGCGGGGCGGGGAGGAAGGAAAAGCCGTGGGGACACGTAGCGATGTAGTCCGCTTCCGGGTACAGTAAAACATCGGTATTGAGAGCAAGCACTAAACCATTGCTGGAGCAGTGTCAAAAAACGAGTTATCGCTAATAACTTTTACACACACAATTGGCAAATTACAATTTATTTATGGGCCACCGATGGTGCCCCTTCCCCTCTCTCCGTGTGATCCGCACGATTTTGGCCCCCCCCCTTGAAATGCAGTTTGCATTTGATTCGGGGTGAGAGCAACAAATCAATTTGCATGCGGTAATTCCAAAGATTTATTGCCAACATTTTGTGCGGAACGAGCAGAGGGCGTGGCGTTTTGCTGGTTGGCATGCAAAAACTGTAAAATATCCCAAATTTATAAAAGTTCTTGTGCGTGGCACTGTAAGCCGATTTTATGTCGCAGAAAGAGCCACATAATGGGAATCACGGCCAGCTCATGAGTTGCCATTACCCCATTGCCAGGCAGAAAGTGAGCAGGAATCAAATTGATTTCAGAGCACACAGCATCATTAGCAGTTGGCCGCCGCCATAAAAGCCAGAATAATAACAGAGAGTTGAGTAGAAAGCAGACAACGGCGAAAAAACGGCGAAACCGAAGCCAAACTGGAACCATCAGCAGTCAAAGTCGATGGTGATGATGATGGCCGTGGTGGTGATCATGATGATGATGCTGCTGCTGCTGCCTGCCACAGATGATGTCATGGTGGGTATGGTGGGCATAGTACGGGTAAAAACCAAGCGGATTGGGGGAGAAGGGGTTTTTGGGGTCGACAATTCGATTTGGTCGTTTCGCACGCTGCTTTAAAGTACACTACGCGAAAATATCTACGGTGAATGTCTACCAAAGATGGTAAAAGTTCACTAAGGCAGCTTCTCAACCTAATACATTACATTCTCTCGGCATTTTCATGCTACACAAATAATCATACATAATTATTTTTTCTGAAACATTTGTGTATTTGCACAATTCTTTTTTATTTCCGAATGCCTACCGTGCCGTGCAGCCCCAATCGAAATTGGAATCGCTTTTGAAACATAGATTCTAGTCGGCTGTTTATTCTGGAATATCTGTTTATCAAACGGAACAGCTTCAATCTGTAATGAGCCAACTAATTACGTGCGGCAGACTCTAAACAAATCGAGAATCAGACAAACATTGTGCATTTGGTTAGCTGGCCATTTCAACACATTAATAAACTGCATAAGGGAACAGCTCATTAAAAGCCACTCGAGTGAGGCAGCAACAGCTTTTCCATTTCCCATATCCCATTTTCCATTTTCCTCATCCCATTTACCATTTCCCATCTGACTGCCGGCTGTCAAGTGGTCGAGGCCCAAGAAAACTACTTCAAAGATCTTGTTGCTGCTCCTACTGCTGCTGCTGCTGCTGCTGCTGCTGCTGCTGCTGTTGATGTGCTGGCTCTTTGGGCCAAACAAAAGTGAAGCCGGAGCGACATATTCACCCACTAACTGGCAGAAGTTGGTTGAAATTAGGAGTGGAAAAACGCAGTCAGCAGACCCATCTGTCGGGGAATAACAAGCCATGCAAATGCCATGCCTCCACATCCCTCTATCACTGTGTCCCCATATCCACATCCACATATCCATATGTGTGGCAAAGTGCTTGGTAGCTCCTCCAGGGAATCGAAACGGAGGGCAGCGCCAAGTAGTGAACGCGTTGATTTCGCATTTATGCAAATTTCACGTACACTTCAAACTGCTCAACGTTTTTTCGTCTTTATTTTTCTTTTTCTGGCTCCCCCGCTCTCAAACTCTTCAAGTTCTTCTTTTTTCGCTTTTTTTTTTGTCGTTGTTTGGCTTTTTCCACAGACGCGCTTTTGTTGGCCGGGCCAAAACTAAACTTTGCTGAGTGAAACTGAAGTTGCCGTTGGGGAAATGCAGGGGGATCCAAATGGGGCGGGGAAACTGGCGAGTCGTAGAAATTCTGCCTGGGGCCGAGTGATTTCTGAATACCTTTTAGACAGCCCTCAGCTCGGGTGTATCGGATTAGCGGGGTGACCGAGGTGGGGATCAATCATTAATTGGATAGTTTTTGACCTATTAGCCGAAGTTGTGGGAACACAAATATGTATTTAATAGAAAAGCTTTTACAAATTATATATAAATTTTGTATATACACATATACCTAATGTATCTTTGCTATAGTTTCTATATCAACTTGCACGAAAGTGTTGGGTTGTATAATTTATAGCTTTTAAGAAACATTTTTCTAAAAATAAAAAGCCAATTTTGATTTTAAACATTTATGTCTGAAATCTATTGATTTGCAGAACTTGTCTATATACAGCTAGCTAAATATATATTATTTTTTATGTAAAAGCACACTAGTGTCATGAGTTATTAAGATGAGTTTATTAAGAGAGGCGTATATATTGCTCCATATACGTGTATGTTGCGCTACAGGGTATCCCCGCTGTCGCTTAACTATTCAA